GCTACCTGTCAGATTTCCCTCATAATTTTTTTCTTGTGTACCTTTTTTCATGACATTTCTCCTTGACTAGTAAACCCTTTCATTTCTCCTTGGCTGAGCTCAATCCTTAAGGTCTTGATGGAAGCCCAGACCAATATTTCTCAACATAGTTTTCATAAAACACTAGTTACATAATGTGTTATTAGATTTCAAGGGAAAAATGGGTTCCATGGTCAAATAAGTTCAGAAAACTCAAATGATACATTTTAATCAGGTTTGCAGTAGTGTTTTTTAATTTCAAAGATGTTTCAGAGTCTTTAGTTTGCTAATATCCATTGTGAATCTTCAAGACAACAGTCCAGTGTATAATTTCTCAAACTTCTTTGAACATAGACCCCTTTTCAAGAAATATTTTACAGAATAAATAATCCTGTATCCTTCAGCCTTTTTAAAATATCCCATTAAAATAACTGAAATTAACATCCCAGTGTCCTCTCCCGTGTTTCTTAACCTTCTTGAAGGAACATATATTCTCTTTGTACTTCTTGGTCTGCTCTCACTTAATGCTTGATTGCCCCTGTCTTATTTTGTCTCCTGTGCCTGCTCTTCTACCTCTGCCCTTCTCTAAGCTGCCTCCACCTTTCCTGATGATGAAGGAGATTAAAGCATAGGATAAGACCAGGAACAAATTAAAATTGGACTTCTGACATCTTAAAATTATGCAGCCCTTTCCTTCTCCACAAAAGAAACCTGGTCATAATTTTCCCTGAGGCTCATCTCTGTTCCTGTGTTACTTTGGGATATACTGCTCTAGCCCAGATCTTCCCTGAGCCAATAATACTATCAATAGATACCATTATTTATTCCATAATAAAAATAAATGAAGATACTTTCCAAACATTTTAAAACTGAATAAACGGTTTATGGGCTTACTGTTTTGAGTGCAGCAGAGTACACTGCAAGAAGTTTTCAAAAATGGTAAATACTCCCAGCTTCCCTTTAAAACAGCAATATACCATGTTCTCCAACTTTAATCATTTTATTTAAGCTATGTCATTAATGTATTGCATGCATCTCCATGCCAAGGTATTTTACTAAATATGAGTAATAGAGAATGTCAAGATTTGGCCCCTACTCACAAATAACTTAGTAGAGAAGAGAAATAAATATGATAACATGTAAAGAGGCAAACAATACAAGAAGTTACTACAAGAAATGCCCTATGTTAATACATATTACACAGTGAGTACAGGTTGAGTATCCTTTATCCAAAATGCTTGGGACCAGAAGTGTTTTGGATTTTGGATTTTTTTGGATTTTGGAATATTGGCATTATACCAGTTGAGCATCCCAAATCCAAAATCTGAAATGCCCCAATAAGCATCTCCTTTAAATGTCATGTCGGCACTCAAAAAGTTTCAAATTTTGGAGCATTTCGAATTTCAGATTTTCGGATTTGGGATGCTTAACCTGTAGTATACAGAACAAGCAATGTTTTTGCTATACAGAGAGAAAAGAGATTCAGCTAGGCCAAATTGCACTGCAAAATTTTCAGAAATGGTTAGACTGAGTCTTGAAAGTTGACTAAAATTACCAATTAGGGAAGGGAAGAGATGATATCCTAGGCAAAGGAGAGGACATGAGCAGAGGCACCCAGGAGGAAAAGCACAGAATGTATTTACAGGGCATGAGGTTAAGAGTTCTGGAGGGTATCTGGTAATGTGAAGAGGTGTCAAATGTTATATATAAAGTACACAGATCTCAGTATCCTTTCTGAAACTTTTTACACGTATATAAACTATACACAATCATCTATACATGGATGTATGTACTCTTTTGATACAAATGGAATCAACAGTGTGTTTTTTACTTTTCAGTATATTGTGGGTATCTTTCCATGTTTCTACAATAATACATCTTCAGAATATTCCACTGTTTGGCATATGATCACAGAGTGTTTCACTAAATAGATGAGAACATTCAAACTTTACAAAACTTTACAAAATGCTCAGAAGTACTAAAAGGGGCCAGGCATGGCGGCTCAGGCCTGTAATCCTAGCACTCTGGGAGGCCGAGGCGGGTGGATCGTTTGAGCTCAGGAGTTCAAGACCAGCCTGAGCAAGAGCAAGAGCAAGACCCCGTCTCTACTAAAAATAGAAAGAAATTAGCCAGACAACTAAAAATATATAGAAAAAAATTAACTGGGCATGGTGGTGCATGCCTGTAGTCCCAGCTACTCAGGAGGCTGAGGCAGAAGGATTGCTTGAGCCCAGGAGTTTGAGGTTGTGAGCTAGGCTGATGCCATGGCACTCTAGCCCAGGCAACGGAGCGAGACTCTGTCTCAAAAAAAAAAAAAAAAAAAAAAAAAGAAGAAGTACTAAAAGGGAAATGAATATGGATAGTAACATGCAGCTAGATAATCTGGTTTATAGGGTGTCTTCACTTTCTGGCTTCCTTTCCCAGTGAGCCACCCTACCTTGTTTTTGACTTGCCTCAATGGAGTAGGAGCAGTCAGCTTTTACTTGACTCCCTGGGGAAATTTTAGGTACATCCAGACTTCAAAACCCAGGCCAGCCAGCCAAGTTCATTTTCCTGACTGATGGCATCTTCCGTAGATAATTGACATCAGAATACTTAACCCCACCCACAGCAGTGTGACCTTACTTATATAAGAAAGTGATATCAGAATACAGTACAATGGGCCCGGCATCAATGTAGGAGATAAGCTCATACAGAGGGGAGGGAGGCAGTCTTTTCATTCCCTGAGATTGAACCATGGACCACTAAGGTTTTATTTGGCCCTTTGGCTCTGTTATTTTAAAAATGAGTACAGTTGTCCCTTGGTACCTGGGGGGCATAAGTTCCAGGACCTCTCTTAGATATCAAAATCCAAGGATGCTCAAGTCCCTGATATGAAACGATGTAGTATTTGCATATAACCTATGCATATCCTCTCATATAATTTAAATCATCTCTAAATTACCGTTGATACCTGATACAATGTAAATAGTTGTTATGCTATATTGCTTAGGGAAGAATGACAAGGGGAAAACGTCTGTACATGTTCAGTACAGATGCAATTTTTTTTCTGAATATTTTCAATCCGCAAAGTTGGTCGAATCAATGGATACAAAACCCACAGGTAAGTATGGCCAACAGCACTTGCAGGCTGTCATGTGAGTAAAAGCTGTGATTTGCTCTATGCAGCACTAAGACCATGACTGGAAGATATAAGAAGATAGATGTTTACAATTTAAAGAACTTCCTAATAGTATAACAAAAAGGTGCTCTAAGGTACTAATTCTTAAAGATGACCTCCAAACCTTTCATGATGCCCCAAATCTCTCTCCAGAGTTGATATTGGTTAGGTAGAACTGACTTATGGAAAGACTATTTTAAACTGACTGGAAGAAAGGCTATTTTAAGATGGTTTGAAATTTAATTTTTCTTCTCTAGCCTAACATAAGATCCACTGAGGCAATACTTTGCTGGCTGATCTTATGTCAAGCAACTGTTTTTCAGAGTAAGCTGTAGAGTATAAGGAAAAGTTAAACTGAAGAGAACCTGTGTTATTTGATGCTTAGATTTTTGTAGCCCTTGAATGAAAATAAACTAAAGCATGTATAGATCCTATTATTATTTCATGCTTCCCCAGTTCTGGTAGATTCTTGAAACTAACAACAGAGAGACTAAAAAATGAATAATGCTTGCCCATGGTAACATAGCTGATAATAATAAGCATCTACTGTGGCATGTAAAGTGTTTTAATTTCTAGTTCATTGTTCTTCCTACCATATGTTGAGCTGCCATATGGATTTTTGTTGAAATGCTGCTTATTTTAGCAGGATTTGATTTTTAAATTATTGGAAAATCCTGAATTTACTGTAATTATTAAGTGATATGAATAACACTTAGTATTTCTATTTTCCACTTGTATTTCCATTTCAATTCAAGGGAATTATAGAACATATTCTTATTTTATATAATGGGGATTGGCAAACTATGGCCCATAGGCTAAATATGGCTCACAGCCTATTTGGATAAATACTATAAAAATTTTACTAGAACACAACCACTAACATCCATTTATATATTGTGTTGTTTATGGCTGGCTGCTTTTGTGCTACAACAGCACAGTTGAGTAGTTGTAACAGAATATGCTCCACAAAGCTTAAAAGTAAAGACTATCTAGCCCTGTACAGAAAAAGTTTACTGACCCTTATAATAGAGAAAAAAAATTTAAAAACAAACAACAGAAACTCACTGGGAAATGACCAGTTAAACTACTGGCAGATTTGAGTTCAAAGCTTTTTGAACTTTCCTTTGATCTCAAAATTCTAAAATGCGAGTTAATGTCTAATGCCAAATTATTACATTCTAGATAATTCAGTAAAGAATATGATTTAAAAAAATAAAAAATTACATTTTATTTTGCTTAAAAAAACCAACAACTAGGCCAGGTGCAGTGGCTCACGCCTGTAATCCTAGCACTCTGGGAGGCCAAGGTGGGAGGATCGCTTGAGGTCAGGAGTTCCAGACCAGCCTGAGCAAGAGCGAGACCCCATCTCTACTAAAAATAGATAGAAAAAAAAATTAGCTGGGCAACTAAAAATAGAAACCAAAAATTAGCCAGGCGTGGTGGCAAGCACCTGTAGTCTCAGCTACTCAGGAGGCTAAGGCAGGAGGATCACTTGAGCCTAGGAGTTTGAGGTTGCTGTGAGCTAGGCTGATGCCACGGCACTCTAACCTGGGCAACAGAGCGAGACTCTGTCTCAAAAAAAAAAAAAAAAAAACCCAACAACTTAGTGCCAACTGTATGTCAGGCAATGGGAAGTAAAGTCTGAGAAGTGAAGTTATAAATCCTGCCCTTGAAGGAACTAAGGAGATTAAATAGAAATGTGTTTCCCCCCTCCCCAGGTTTTAAGTATGACATTTTCAGATAGTAACTTCTTTTCTTTTTCTTAGAGACTGCTGTATTACAGAAAAGGATGTGACTTTCAGAATAATCCTGAGTGTGAAGGATGAGTCCAGATGTGCCTCTGCTGAACGATTACAAACAGGACTTCTTTCTGAAGCGCTTTCCACAGACTGTTCTTGGAGGCCCTCGACTCAAATTAGGCTATTGTGCCCCTCCTTACATATATGTTAATCAGATTATCCTTTTTCTAATGCCATGGGTTTTGGGTGGAATAGGAACACTTTTATACCAATTGGGCATCCTGAAAGACTATTATACAGCAGCATTATCAGGTGGATTAATGCTTTTCACTGCGTTTGTCATCCAGTTCACAAGTTTATATGCCAGAAACAAATCGGTGACAGTACAAAGAATACTAACCACAGATATCTTAGCAGAGGAAGATGAGTATGAATTTACAAGTTGTGCTGGTGCTGAGACTGTCAAATTTCTAATTCCTGGGAAGAAATATATAGTCAATACAGTTTTTCATTCTGTTCTTGCTGGATTAGTATGTGGTCTTGGAACGTTGTATCTGCTCCCAGATAGAATAACCTTGCTGTATGGCAGTACAGGAGGCACTGCTCTACTATTTTTCTTTGGATGGATGACGTTATGTATAGGAGAATATTCATTAATTGTAAATACAGCTACAGAGACTGCGACTTTCCAAACCCAGGATACTTACGAAATCACTCCTCTTATGAGGCCTCTTTATATTTTTTTCTTCATTTCTGTGGATCTTGCTCACAGGTAAAAATCTACCAAATCCTTTATAACTTGCTTTGTTTTTAAGTATACATGGTAGAATTCTGCTTAGTATTAAAAATAAATAAGTCTGTGATTAAAAATCATCAAGACCAAACCATTGGGTGATAAGTTGTTTTGATGATTAATCTTTTAGGACTGATTTCTATAAAACATTCATACTAAAGCAGTAGTTAAATCTTATAGAACAGTAAAAAAAAAACAAAAAACCACCCTTTTTAAGATAAATTTAATAAACACTTTTTCAATCCTGAGTTTCACTTTAAATAAGAAGCTTTGAATCTGTAAGTTAGCTTGGCTGAAACCTTTATAAAGAAGTGGAACTTTCCTGTGGGGGAGAAAATTAAGAATTTAAAATTTATGCACATAAATATGTCCAGATTAAGTGAATTAAAGATGAATAGAAAATTTGTTTCTAATTTTTTGATAGCAACAATATTAGAAGGAATATTGATGTTTTTAACCAATTTGTTACAGAAGAAAAATAGAAAGTAGTTTTAACAAACATAATCGTTTACCAAAATGTTTGATAAGACCTTTTGCTTGCTTTTTCTAAATCTGATTTTTATTTCTCAGTTGGTATAGATTGCAGCTTTTTCTTTCCCAGGTTAGTGTCCAGGTAGAAATGTAAAAGCATGTTATGGACTGAATGTTTGTATCTCCTCAAAATTCACACATTGAAGTCCTAAACACCAATATGATGGTATTTGGAATTGGGACCTTTGAAAGATACTTAGGTCATGAAGGTTGGGCCCTGGTGTGATGGCATTGGGGCCTTATAAGAAGAGAAACCAGAGAGCTCGATCTCTCTCTCTCTCTGTCATGTAAGGACACAGCAAGAAGGCAGCCATCTGCAAGCCAAGAAGAGAGCTCTCACCAGAACCTGACTGTACTGGCAGCCTGATCTTCAACTTCCAGCCTCCAGAACTGTGGGAAAATAAATTTCTGTTGTTCAAGCCACTCAGTCTATGGTATTTTGTTATGACAGCCCAAGCTAAGATTTTGGTACCGAGCAGTGGGGCCCCTAAAAATGTTAAAGCAGCTTTGTAACTGTTGGTAATGGGTAGCAGCTGGAAGAGTTTTGATGTACATGCCACAAGTATGGACGTCAAGGGTGATTCCAATGAAGTCTTAGATGAAAATGAGGAACATGTTATTGGAAACTGGAGGAAAGGCAGTCCTTGTTATAAAGTGTCAAAGAACCTGGCTGAACTGTGTTCTAGTGTTTTGTAGAAGGTAGAATTTCAAGTGCTGAGATTGCATATTTAATTAAGGAAATTTCAAAGCAAAGTGTTGGAGTAGCTTGATTTCTCCTGACTGCTGATAATAAAATGTGAAAGGAAAGAGATGAATTGAAGAAAGAATAGTTAAACCAAAAAAAGGAACTAGAAGATTTGGAAAATTCTCAGCCTATCCATAGCGTAAGACATGAGAAGGCATATTCTGAAGAGAACACCAAGGTTGTGGAGCCTATCACTCAATAAAGAGCTTATGGTATTATATGAGCAGAAACACTGCCGATTCGAATTGAAGGGGTTGGAGACAGGATGAAATGTAGGAAGGCTGTCAAACTTCTTGAATTTGACAGGATGGGTTGATAGAACTGTTCAGCTGCAAAGATGCACTATTCTTCAAGAAAAGGGAAAAATGATGCTGAAGGTGATTCAGAATTCATCAGAGCTACCACCTTACTTTCAACAGGCCTGGTGGCCTCCTGCCTAGAGCTGTGGGAGTGATGCTACCTGCCACCCAAGGGGCCTAGAAGGCAGAGTATGGAGCCAAAGAGAGTTATTCTCAAGCCATAAGATCTAATGGAATTTGTCTTGCTAGGTTTTGGACTTCCTTGGGACCCATCACCCTTTTCTTTTTTCCTGTTTCTACCTTTGGAGTGGAAACATCTCTCAAATACCTGTCCCACCATTGTCTTTTGGAAGCACATAACTTTTCTGTGCTTTTACAGGTTCACAGCTAGAGAGGAATTTTGATTCAGTATGGATTGTATTTAAGTCTTACCCATATCTGCTTTAGATGATACTTATGTGAGACTTCGGACTTCAGACTTTAGAGTTAATGCTGGAATGAGTTAAGACTTTGGGGGCTGTTGGGATGGAATGAGTGTGTTTTGGATGTGAAAAGGACATGAATTTGGGGGGTACTGGCCAAGGATGCAACATTGTGGACTGATTTTGTTACTCCAAAATGCTTATGTTGAAGCCCTGATCCCCAATGTGATGGTATTTGGAGATGGGGCCTTTTGAAAGTAATAATAGTTAGGTTGTGAAGGTGGGATGGATTTAGTCCCCATATGAGAGAGACACCAGAGAGCTTGCTACCTGTCTTCTCTTTCTCCCCCTCTCCTCCCTAAAACTCCCCACCATTTAAAGACACAGCAATCTATAAGTCAGGAAGTGATCCCTTACCAGAACCTGACTATACTGGCAACCTGATCTTAAACTCCAGAACTGTGGAAAAATAAATTTCTGTTGTTTAAGCCACCTAGTCTATGGTATTTTGTTATAGCAGCCCAAGCTGGCCTAACATAAAGCATTTAAAAATATTTAGTCAGTTCGTGTACTGAAACTGACCTCTTGAGTGTCTGTTTGTTATTCCTTAACTCATAATCTCTTCTAATTTTACTACATTTATAAACCAGAGGGCAATATAATGCCCATGTAGTTCTTCATCTAATCAACTATGTAAGAGGAGAATTCATCAATAAGAAATTTATTATAAATTGATTTCTTAATACTTCTACCATTGACTATAATAACTATAAAATAATGTATTACAGTTAAATGCTTGATTTTGAGAAGTTAGCAGTAAAATTGGGCTTAAATAGTATGTACACATATGATCCCTTTTAAAAGATTTAAGTTTATAAAATTATTTTCAGCATATGTATTCTTGAGTTACTATCTCACTACCATTCCTGAAATCAGACATTATATACCTGCTGTAATACATCTTTGCATTTAAAATGATGTCCTAAGTTCTTTAATTTTTAAAAAAACTGTTAATTTTTAATTTGGTTTCTGCATTGTTCATTTCGATATGAAAGTACATAAAGATTTTTTACTAAATTCTGGATTTAATATACAGTTTTAATGTTTAAATGAAAGATTTTTTTACTATGACTAAAAAAATACAAAGGCTGTTCTCATCTGTTTTTAAAGAAGATAATAACTAATTTATCCAGAAAAATTATCTCCCATTTCACTTTTAGAAAATTTTAACTTGTGATTAACAAAATAATAAAGAACTGAGGTGATCTTTATACAGTAGGTGTGATACTGCTACCAAGTGATAAATGAAGTGCCCACACTCTTCAAATTTAAATAGTTGTCAGTTATGTCAGATTGTTTCTTAATTTTGTTTCAGAGGATGTGAAAGAAATCTAAAGAGATGAAACCCACAGTGTAGTAATCTTTTCTTTCCTCATTCTTTATTCTACCCAGTACAGTTGTGAAATAATAATTTAAAGGACTGTTTCTGTGTATTTTTATCATACACACATTGCAATGCTTAGCTCAGAGATCTCAGGGATTATTTGAATGAATGCTACACATTTACATTATCTAAGCCACTATAAAAACCATCTTCTTTATGGGCCTGTGGATCTTAGTTTGGAGAATTGGAAATTTTTTTTTTCAAGAGAACAGGTCTTGCTCTGCGACCCAGGTTGGAGTACAGTGGCACGATCATAGCTCACGTTAGCCTGGAATACCTGGGCTCAAGCAAACCTCCCACCTCATCCTCCCAAGCTTGAGCCACCATGCCTGGCTGAAATATTTTTATAGTTGTTAGGTTTGAAACATAGTTTTGTTTTGTTTTGTTCCCTTAAGGGCTAAGATTTTTTTACCTTAGAATATTTCTGTTACATTAACAGAAATATTCAAATTTAAACATTTTTCCATATTAAAGAATTAACCATAATAATCCTCCATTTGGGGCTGAGTCATATACAGGAGAATAATCACAGTATTTGGTTACTTCAATTATATGTGCTTATATTTATTTATGATATCCTTGTGTATAAATACCATGCCATAGCTTATTGTTTAAGGACAAAAGAAGATTTAAGAGTAGAGTCTAATTTTGGTAAAGTGTTTCCTGAGTATACATTATTTTTACACAAATTATCTTATTCTTGAGTATGTTTGCAAGAGAAGTGTTATCTTGGGATTTAAAAAGGCTGTACAAACCAGCATGTTTCCTTGACCTTCCTGTGACTTATCATTTGTGGTTTGATTTTCTTGATTTGTGTTACTTGAGCATTTTCTTCTCAGAATGAAGTGAATGTTATTTTAAAACTATGCCACAGAATGTATTGTTCTCTATTTTAGCATCACATTGTTAACCTTGTGTTCATTAATTCTCTGCTTATAAAAATCGAAGGACATACATGATGAGGCAGAGCACATTAGCTAGCTTAGTCTTAGTTATCTGTGAGCAAACACATTATGCCATTACTGTATTATATCCATAGTTGCTACACATTTGCTCTTGGGCTATCAACATATACTTAAGTGGAGAAGTATAAGATAAAGACAACTTGCAGAGTTGTCTTTTTCCTCGACTTTGACTAGCAGCTCAGGTACTCAAGTACTATTATGCTGTAAGTACAATTATGCTATAAGATTTTAGATTTAGTTTTCCCTTTTGAAAGTTACCTTTGGAACTCCATAAGTACTCTGACTGTGTTGGTGTCTGCATATAGTGTTTGGTTAACCGTATTCAAAAAATTAGCAATATATCGATAATGTTTATCCTCCTATGCTTTCAAATTTTATTAAACTATTTGAAACCATTTAATGATGTCGTATTTAATGGGTAAGTGCTATACCAGTTATCAATTTCTCCACTCAAGATAGAGGCAATCCCTACTTTATGAGGAGATTGTATTGTACAAACTTGTGTTCTCAAATCCATACCATTGGTTATACAAAATAGAACAATATTATAAATGCCAGTTAGTTCTCAGGGTAACCCACAGAGACACAGTCATAACCTAAGTTGCTCACTTCTGATAGAAACTATACTGACTTCAAATTCTGGGACTTGGGAGTAGGACAATATAGGAGAGAGTAGGAGGAAGAGAAGAGCTTCCTGTCTTTGCTAGCTACTGATGTGTGAATGTAAGGCTTTGACTTTCCCAAAGCTACGTGCAATTTTAAATTATAAAATCTTAAACTCTAAAGAATCATTGGTAGAATTTCAGCCAATGTAGTTTAGACATTTAGGGGAAAAATATTTTTGCTCTGGCCTTGGTTGTTCAGTTTTACAAATCCCTGTATTCAATTTTCTTACTATTCAATGATGGCTTTTAATTACTTCTTCCTTTGCACATTTGAATTCACATATTCTCTAAATGCTAAGCTTGTACACAGTTGAGTATGGGTAGTTGCTGGTATAGGGGAAGGACAGTGGTCACAGTTTATATGTGTTGATCATTTATAAACAGGGACTGGGCCCTTTCTGTAAGTGTTTTTTGTTTTGGGGTGTGTGTTATTCTTTGTTGTTTTGTCTTTCTGGAAAGATCCTCTTCTATATATTATTTTGTATGATTTAAATATTTTCTTTTTTCTTATAGGTTTATGGTAAATATACCTGCTTTAGAACAAATGAATCAGATTTTACACATCTTGTTTATATTTTTACCCTTTCTGTGGGCAGTTGGGACTCTGCCCCCACCCGATGCACTTTTCTTATGGGCAATGGAACAGGTTTTAGAATTTGGCCTTGGAGGCTCATCTATGTCAACCCACCTACGGTAATTATTTAAAAGTATTGATGTAATATGTAACTTATTCTCAAAGAATGTTTTTTAAAGTAAATCTTTTTTTCTTCTTTTCCTCTGCAGGTTATTAGTAATGTTCATCATTTCTGCTGGAACAGCTATAACATCATATTTCATTCCCAGCACTGTTGGTGCAGTTCTTTTCATGACTGGACTTGGTTTCTTACTAAGTCTTAACCTAAGTGACATGAGTTTGATCTTCAAACACAGTGTGACTAGACACAGAATTGGAGCCAAATCTAAGGCTTTACCCAGTTGTTCAAAAAAACAGTTTACACAGAAGGAATGCCTTTTCTACATCATAATGTTAGTCTTGGCTCTCTTAGAAACTAGTTTGCTTCATCACTTTGCTGGTTTCTCACAGATTTCCAAAAGCAATTCTCAGGTTATTTTTGGCTATATTTTAGTGATATTACTTATAATACTGTGGATACTTAGAGAAATTCAAAGCGTGTATATCATTGGAATTTTCCGAAACCCTTTCTATCCAAGGGATGTGCATCCTGTGACTATATTCTTAGAGAAGCAAACAAGACTCATGAAGATTGGTATTGCCAGACGGATTTTGCTAACTCTAGGTAGGCAGATAAATTCTACTAAACTTGTGTTGTTAACCATATCTATGAAGTGTTCAAAAATATTAATATTATAGGATTCCAATATTTGTGTGGTATTATACTTCATACAAGTGTTTATTCTTTTGTTTTTTATTAATTTTTTTAATTACTTAAATGTGCTCATAAAAAAATCATATTTGCCAAAATAAAATATATTAGAAGGAATTACTTTGTTTTAATTAAATTTGTCTTCTTTTTTTGTTTGTTTGTTTTAGTGTCACCTTTTGCTATGATAGCATTTCTTTCATTGGACAGTTCCTTACAAGAGCTCCACTCTGTGTCTGTCTCTATTGGATTCACAAGAGCTTTTAGAATGGTAATCCTAATATGTACTTAATAGTATTTTCCTATTGCTAAGTTTATTTGTGATTTTGTTTAACAGTTTGCTTAGATTATCAAATTCTACCTAATAAAAGTGGATAATTTGTATACTGCAGGTATGGCAGAATACAGAAAATGCTTTATTGGAGATAGTCATTGTATCAGCTGTGCACTTGATCTCCAGTACAGACTTATGGTGGAACAGAAGCCTGGATATAGGAATCAGACTCTTACTGGTAAATGTGTTTTTTAGTAGATTATTGAGATATTTAACATACCATAAAATTTTATCTATTTAAAGTATACCGTTTAGTGGTATATATTCCGAGTTTTGCAACCATCACTAAAATCCAACTTTAGAACAATTTCAACATTCCCAAAAGAAACTTCTATGCCTTAATAGTCATTCCCCACTTCTACTCTCCATCCCACCTGCTACCCACTGTAGTCCCAGCAACCACTAATCTACTTTTTGCCTCTGTGTATTTGCCTATTCTGGACATTTCGAATGAATGGAATTATACAATATGTGGTCTTTTGCATCTGGCTTCCTTCATTATATGTTTTCAAGGTTCATCCATGTTGTGGCATGTATCAGTATAGTCACGCACTGGAAAATGACATCCTGGTCAATGACAGACCACATATGTTAATACAATGGTGGTTTCATGAGATAATAATGGAGATAATAAATTCTATCCCCTAGTGATGTAGCCCTCATAGCGTAATGCATTATTCATGTTTGTGGTGATGCTCACGTAAACATAACCTACTATGCTACCAGTCATATAAAAGTATAGCACATGCAATTGTTGATAGTAAATAATGCTTCATAATGATAACAAATGACTGTGTTACTGGTTTATGTATATTTTCTATACCATGCTTTTTATCGTTATTTTAAAGTATACCCCTTCTACTTATAAAGAAAAAAGTTAACTGTAAAACAGCCTCAGGCAGGTCCTTCAGGAGGTATTTCTGAAGAAGGCATTGTTATGCAGGAGATGACAACTCATAAGTGTTATTGCCCCTAAAGACCTTCCAGTGGGACAAGAAGTGGAGGTGGAAGACAGTGATATTTATGATGGTGTGTAGGCCAAGGCTACATGTGTTTGTGTCTTAGTTTTTTTAACAAAAAAATTTTTTAACAAAGTTTAAAAAGTTAAAAGAATAAAAAATTTTAAAAATAAAAAAGCTTTAAGAATAAGGACATAAACAAAATATTTTTGTACAGTTGTGCAATGTGTTTGTTTTAAGCTGAGTGTCATTACAAAAGAGTCAAAAAGTTTTAAAAACATGAAAGTTTATAAAGTAAAAAAGTTACAGTAAACTAAGATTAATTTATTATTGAAGAAAGAAAAATCATTTCTATAAATTTGGTGTAGCCTAAATGTACAGTGTTTATAAAGCCTACAGTAGTGTACGGTAATGTCCTAGGCCTTCACATTCACTCACCACTCACTCACTGACTCACCGACTCACCAAAAGCAATTTAACAGTTCTGCAAGCGCCAATCACAGTAAGTGCCCTATTCAAGTGTGCTATTTTTTATCTTTTATAATATATTTTTACTGTACCTTTTTATGTTTAGATTTGTTTTGATACATAAATACTTACCATTGTATTACAGTTGCCTACATTATTCAGTACAGTAACATGCGGTACAGGTTTGTAGCCTAGGAGCAATAGGCTATACCATATAGCCTAGGTGTGTGTAGTAGGCGATACTGTCTATATGTTTGTTTAAGTATACACTATGATATTCACACAATGATTAAATTGCCTAATGACACATTTCTCAGAACATATCCCCATTATTAAGTGATGCATGACTGTACTTGATTCTTTTTTATTGTCAAATAATATTTCATTGTATAGATACACACATTTAGTTAATTCATTCATCAACTGATAGATATATAGGTTGTTTCCATCCTTGACTATTAAGAAGCATATTGCTGTGAACATTTGTGTACACATTTAGGAATGAACATATGTTTTCATTTTCCTTGGGTCTATATTCCTAGGACTGGAATTTCTGGTCTTGTAGGAACTCCATGTTTAATGCTTCAAGGTACTGCGAAACTGTTTTCCAAAGTGGTGGCACCATTTTACATTCCTATCAGAGAATGTATGAGGATTCCAATTTCTCCACATCTTCATTAGCACTTACTATCTGATGTTTTCATTATGGCCCTACTACTGGGTGTGAGATGCTACCGCATTTTAATTTTGATTTGCATTTCTCTGCTTCCTAATGATGCATCTTTTCATGTGTTCATGGGCCATTTGTATATATATATTTTCTTTTTGATAAATGTCTATTCAAATCCTTTGCCCATTTTATTTTAGGTTATTTGTCTTTTTATTGTTGAGTTGTGAGAGTTCTTTATTCTAGATACAAGTCCCTTAACAGACATATGATATGCACAAAATTTCTCCTATTCTGTAGGTTGTCTTTCTTTTTCTTGATAGTGTCCTTTGAAACACAAAGGTTTTTAACTTTAATCAAGTTTATCTATTTTTCTTTTGTCACTTGTGTTTTTGGTATTATATCTGACAAATACTGCTTACTATGTTTTCTTCTAAAAGTTTTATAGTTTTACCTCTTATATGGGGGCCTATAATCTGGTTTTAGCTAACTTTTGTATATGATGTGAGGCAGGGTTCCAGATTTATTCTTTGGCATATAGATGTACAATTGTCCTAGCACCATTTATTGAAAAGACTCTTCACATCTGGTGACATTTCTTGGCACCCTTGCCAAAAATCAAATGACCAGAAACATTAAGGTTTATTTCTGACTATTCTGAGTTCTCTTTCATTCATCTGTGTCTATCCTTATGCCAGCGCCGCACTCTCTTGGTTACTATAACTTTGTAGTAGGTTGTGAAGTTAGGAAGTGTGAGTCCTCCAGCTTTGTCCTTCTTTTTCAAGAATGTTTTGACTCTTCTGGGACCCCTGCATTTCCATATAAGTATTAGTTTTAGCCTATCAGTTTTTGCAAAAAGGCCTCTGGGATTTTAGTAGGTAATACCTTGAATCTGAAGACCAATTTGGGGAATATTGCCATCTTAAAAATATTAGTTCCCCCAATCCATGAACACGAGATGTCTTTTCATTTATTTAGATCTTCTTTATTTCAACAGCATTTTGTATTTTTCAGTGTATAAGTCTTACACTTCCTTTATTAAATTTATTCCTAAGTATTTTATTCTTTTCAATGATATTATAAATGGAATTGTCTTTTTTTTTTTTTT